ATCCGCTATGATTTCACCAATGGGTAGGTCGTTTCGCAAGAAATAATGCTCACGGAAGGATACTGACTTCCTCCAGACCCCAAACCGCCGAGTATGTCCACGGCTGGATCTCCCGCCACCTCACCGACCGTCCCAACCCGCCCGTCAAGCGCCCAATCAACTGGATTAGATGGATTTCGACCTTTGTTATTTCCTCGGGCAGTCTAACTGCTTTGTATGTTGGGTGGCCTTACCTTATCCCCATTCTTCAGAGCCGCAATGTCTGGTCTGCAGTTACCCTCATCTCGATTCTTCTCTTCACCTCTGGCCACATGTACAACCACATCCGCAAGGTTCCTTATGTTGCTTCTGATGGCAAGGGTGGCATTAGCTACTTTGCCAATGGCTTCCAGAGCCAGTACGGCTTGGAGACGCAGATTATCGCTGCCATATGTAAGTCTTGTGTCTTGCTACTTTTGTGTGTTCGCTTTCCACATCTCTAACACAAACAAAATAGACGGCTTCCTCTCGCTCGCGGGTATTTCTCTGGCTATCAAGGTTCCTAGAGTGACCGATGCCAATACTCAGAACGTTTTGGTTCTCGTGTGGGGCGCCTTGCTTCTTGTCATCTACAGCTTCCTTCTCAGCGTCTTCCGTGTCAAGAATGCTGGGTATCCCTTCGCGCTGCCACCTTTCATGTAAGTCATGCAAGTTTTGGCTGGTCTAGACAGGGCTCGGTGAGGAAGGTAAACTCATAGCAAAGAGCGAACATAACATGATTCGGAGGAGTTTTGTCTGTTTGCGCGAGCAGGTTTATTTGTTTTGAGAAAAGCGTTTTAAATATGTACAACATTTTGCAAGTACCTTGACGATTTTCAAGGGCACATCTAGAGGAGGAAATGGGAAAAGTTTTGCAATCGTCTTGATCACGTTTCACACAGCGCTCGTCTCATCTAATCTCAACAAATACAGCTTCATCCAGAATATTGTTGACACAAAATTTTGCCACAATGCGCATATTTTACCGCTTGTGTATCTCATCAACACAGCTAACTTACAACGACAACGTTCGGACGGCCGCTGCTGAGACAAGGGCTCACAAAATGTTGGGTATAAATACCTGATCTAGGACGGCCCCAGAGCACCATCTTCCTTTCTCATCATCAATCTATCTTAGAAGCAAAACTGTACTGCGCCCCTAAGAATCCAAAATGCATTTGCAGCATTCTCTTCACACCGTTGCCGTGGCCCTTCTTCCACTGGCATTGCTCCTCACTTCTACCACGTCAGCCGAGCATACCTCTGTCAACCGCCCGCCCATCAAGGTCAAAGCTGAGCAGTTTCAAGGACCACCGATCACGCTCCCAACAGAATCCCACGCCACAGCCAAAGCTGACAGGCTGTCTCTAACTAAACCACACACCTCCATCAGCCCTCCAACCGTCACGGTCGGAGCAGACTACCTCGGCATCGGCGGAGAACCCGTCACAGTACCAAGCGGAACAGAGTTCCTCTCCTTCGCTACAGCACCCCAGGCAGACGAGCTGTCCAAGCCTCATCGTACTCACAGGAAATCTCATTATACTACATCTCAGAGCACCTACCCAACAGTCAAGGCAAACTACCTCGGCGTCGGTGTCGGCGGCGAGCCCGTCACAGTGCCGAGCGGAACTGAATTCCTCTCCTTCGCTACGGCCCAGGCAGATGTGGTTTCCAAGCCTCCTCTAACTTTTACTACCATACCTACCGTTCCGGGCCAGGGATGATCAACAACTGCGGCCTCCAGCGGCTTGTACCCCTTTGCCTGCTGCGTTGGTTAGGGCAAACGGAGTGTCTTCTTAGTCAAAATCTCGGCATAGACCTACGAACCCAGTCCCGGTTCCAACTGTGGTAAAGGCTCGTAGTCTTATGAATCCAGTTGTTGTTCCGACTGCTACGGATAAGGCTCAGTAGGATATCCAGACACGTTGAGGCGGATGCGGTTTTGATGGGGATCGGAGTTGTTGCTGTTGGGGGGGTTGATAGAGATGCGAGAGAGAGAGAGGTCTTGAGCTTTGAAAAACACGAGAAAAAACGCGAGATGCGGTATTGAGGACTCTCACTTCCAGTGGTTTCTTTTGTTCACCTTAGATAGTTGCAGCGATGCTGAGATAGGGGGTCTCAGGATTGATCGGCGCAGCAGACCAGGACGCCAATGCTACAATTAAACTTGGACTCGTGTTCGATCTTGCTGTTGATGGTACCGTCGGCGACAACTTTTTCTCTCCCGGCAGTAAATTCAATAACTAATTCCTGCAGGCCGACTGGTTGAAAGAGAACATCAAGTCTCTACCTTTTAAGCATGGTGTATGTGTTCAGTTTATGTGACACATACTCGGATCCCAATGCTGAAAAGTATACTAGATGCTTCTGAGCACGTTGGATATACACTGCGCAAATTGTGGCTTATCCCATGCATTAGATGAAGTCATAGACAGTGTTCTGGAACCATTGCCACCGAGATCAGCTGCGTCTATCGAAGCAGGCGTTTCCCTTCTTGGCGTAGACAACCCGAATCTGGCATTCAGCTGCGAACTCGCAAGCACTAGGATGTTTTTGTGCATATACCGACCTTGGCAAGGTTGCAGTGGTGGGTTCTGAACGGCCTGGGGCCGTATCATGGATAGCTCAGCTCCAGGGTCCGATTTTGAGGACGAACGTCTATATAAACAGCAATGCAGTGATTGATCTGAAGTCTGCGTCTTCAGTGACAGGATCTGTCCAAGTCACAGCAGCAAAGATGCTCTCAAACACGGCCCTACAGCTCTTGTACTCCTTCAACTTTCTCCTGGGCATCGCCACTGCAAGCTGTCCGAAGGACCCAAGCGCATTCCCCAAAGTCACACTCAAATGGGGAACCGTCACTCCAACCGAGTGTGACAGTACTCGCAATCTCTACATCTTCCGCAATGTTCGGTTCGGAAAGCGCACTGATGGAAAGGAAGGCGGAACACCTCGTTTTGGAGCCCCCCAATACCCAGATGACGTTAAGAATCCAGAAGATGTGCCTCTGCCTCAGCCGACGGGGGGCACTGCTTGCGTACAAGTCCCAATGCCTGGACCAGATTGCAAAGGCACCAAGGGTGAAACGCCCAACTGGGGCTCACCGATTCTTGGACCTGCTCCAAGCACAACAACAACAGAGGACTGCCTTTTTCTCGACATCTTCGTACCAATCTCGGCCGTTGAGAGCGCCACAGCGTCCCAGCTCCCTGTCGTCGTTTGGTTCTATGGAGGTGCATATCTCTTTGGCTCCAAAGACTACGGGGCCGCAAAGGACCTCACCCTCTATGATGGACGGGGCCTCTTTGAAGCAGCAGGTGCCTTGAACAAGGAAATCATCTACGTGGCTGGCAACTATCGGCTCGCCCATCTCGGTTGGCTGGCGGGATCGGCCGTCTCACAGAGCAAAACGGCCATTGCCAATGCCGGCTTGGCCGATCAGCGTCTGCTTCTTCAGTTTGTTCAGGACTACATTGCCAAGTTCGGCGGCGACCCAAACAAAGTCACCGCATTTGGCGAGTCTGCTGGCGGAGGCAGCATCCTTCATCACCTCGTTGCAGTCGATAAAAAGGGCGACCGGAGAGATCCTCTTTTCAACCAAGCCATCACTCAGAGCGCGGCATTCCAATGGATTTGGGAGGGCACTTCGTCCACAGGCTCATCCGAGCAAGTTTTTGAGAGCTTCGTCGTCAGTATAACCCAGTGCAGGGACAAATCAGGCGCCGACGCACTCCAATGCCTTCAAGACCTCGACGGATCAGTTATTGAGACCGCGATCAGCAAATTCTGGAGCGGCGCCAAGTGCTCTGGTGTCTGGAACCTCGGCCCCGTTGTGGACGGCAAGGATATCAAGCAACTCCCGGCCATTGCCCTCGAGTCCTCAGACTTTAGCTTCCACGCACGACTAAAAGGCCTGATCGCTTCCCACGTCGCCGACGAAGCCAAAGCTTTCATCCCCAAATACGTCACCGACTGGGCCGGATTCGACAAGCTGCTGAAGTCATTCCTGCCTGGCGATTCGAAGCCCAGAAACGACCAACGCGCCTGCATCTCCGAGCGGTACAAATCATTCTGGAATCAAAAGAAGCGGGCTAAGAACGTCATCCAGGACTCGATGTTCGTCTGCAACGTGCGGTTCACTTACGACGCCGCGGTGCGACAAAAGCTGCCCGTGTGGTTGATGGACTACGGAGTGTTCCAAGATTTGGATTTCGCGCTGCACGCCACGGACCTGGTGCCTACCTTCTGGCACGAAAATGCCAGCCAGGACGCCTTTTCCACGGCCATCTGTGACGCAGCTGGAAAGAGCAAATTCGAAAGGGCGGAATGCAAAAAACTTCTGAAGAAACATTACTGGCCCGTCCTCACGGCTATTAGGTTGAGATATCAAAAGTACTTTGTGGGGTTCATTGTCGGTGGTGATCCGAACGAGAGCGGGAATGAAGTTAAGTGGTTGAATCCAACTGAGGGTAGTGGTGGGACGCTGAATCAAGTGATGCAAGTGACGGGAAAGAAGGAAGAGAAGGACACGCAAAATTTTAATCTGGTGCAAGATTCGCTCACCCGGGAGGCGACTTGCAAGTTTTGGTCTTGCATGGCGAGTGCGGTTGCCAGTGGGGGCTCTGGTCAAGAGTGCGGATGCGGAGGGTCGTCAGGGGTAAATGACGAACTGTGATGTGGGATGTTTCATGGAGATAAATCTTTTGGATGAGATGATTCTGTCTTTGTTTACATGCCCCCTTTCTTACCCCTGACTTTTTAGGTACTCGGGAAAATGTGGAGTACAGATAGGGAAACAATCATGAGTGGATTTCCCAGGTTCATAAAAGCCATGACAATTTGATTTGTAATCTAAATAGCCAAATGATTCTTATTGGGCATGTGAAGTCAAGATGGAGAAAATTCGAACCAAAAAATTGAACATAAAACACTAGTTGGTTTAAAAACAAAAATAAAAGAAATAAAATATTTGTGGTTGACTCTCCCGCCGGGAATTGAACCCGGGTCCCGAGCGTTTGTTTTTGTTCCAGGTTGGAAATTGACAAGCTCATATACTAACCACTATACTACGGAAGATTTTTTGTATGAGTGTTGACACCCATCGTAGCTTGGCGGGAGTGATGCGATTCCGACTTATTCGAGCGTGATGTGATGGGTTGGATAACCTCGATAACGTAAGCCGGGATTTGGTCTGTCGGCAGGCACAAAAAAGTTTGCAACAGGATTGGTCGCTTAGCGCGGAAAGCGGCATTAGCGAAAAAAGAGGCACAGAGTGGGATCGGTTCGAGTATCGAGTCTAGAAGCGGAAAAGCGTCTTCCATCGCGGTTGGACATCAGCCAGTTGATCGCCACCAACGTGCATACGTAACGCGCTTCCTTCGCCTTGGACAACGATTGCCCACAAAGACTTGTAGTCTAGGGCTCATTTGTGCGACGACGAAATGAGATGAGACAGATGGTTTGGTCAGCATGATTGTGTGGTCGGGTTGTGATTTGCAAGACCCAAATGCCCCCCCACTCAATCCTTTGTTGGTGAACCAATCAATCTGCCATTTCGCCCGTAAGAAGGCCGGGAAAAGGAACCATGCATGCATCCCTCGGATTTCGCACCCCTGTCTCTCAAAGCCTTGTGTGTAACTCTGCCAGGGTCCGAGCTACCCCTGAACCTGGACAACGAGATGTTCGGATGCAGACTGGAAGGATGAGGGATGCTACTTAGCATCCTGTATCCCATTTTACCCCAAAACACACGCGTGTAATCGTCCTTTCTTTCTCTCTCCCGCTCTCTCTCCAGTGCGCACTGTTTTTCAAGATGGATATACACTCACAAAACGAGGGCAAGATCTACCTGCCCAGTCCGCCATATCAGGACGGCAAAATATACGTCCCTCAAACTAATACAGTCGAAACACCATCATGGTCATCGGCGACCCCACAATCACCACCCAGCAAGTATCAACCCGGGGCTTATATTCCTTATAACCACCCTCCACCACCAAGTCCGGAAGAAGGAGAACGCAAGATATTAGGTCTACGAAAAACAACATTCATCTTGTCGGTGATAATAGCCATACTGGCGTTGGCATTGGCGCTTGGACTGGGTCTGGGGTTGGGAATGAAGAAAGATGGGGAGAAAGACTCAAACTCGTAAGTTTATATTATCTCCTCTTTCCAAAATCCATGTCCCGTTGGTTTTCCTGACGATGCTGATTCCCGTGCACAGAACCGCCTTGGGCGCAAACAACGGCACACTGGAATCATCAAGCGCACCCACCGGTTCAACAACGACCGGTCCGACCCAGACATTCAACCCGTCGGCGAGCGTGGTCACAGTAACCCAGGCGGCGAGCACCGGCCTCCCGACCGTCCTCGCCCTCGACTGCCCATCACCCGTCAACCCATCCCCGACAGTCAAACTCGAGGGACCCCTTGGCAAGCCGGTGACTAGTTTCCAGATGAACTGCGGCATGGACAACGCGGGCTTCGACATCGTGAACATAATGGCCTACTCCTTTGACGACTGCATGCGGGCGTGCGCAATGTACAACTGGTTTTCGAGGCCGCAGCAGTGCGTTGGGGTGCAGTTCTGGGCGCCGATCAGTTCGGCCAAGAAGGCGTGGGACGGCAACTGTTTCTTGAAGAACGGGACCATGAGCAAGATTGAGAACAAGCAGGGTGCCGCGACTGTTTGGGCCAAGATTGTGGCGTGATGAAAAAAAAAAAATCAAGTGTTGTGAGCTATTTTCTGACTCTTGAGTCAGTTCGAAAAAGAACTGTCTTTTGTAATCCATATTTTTATTTTATCTTTCTACTTCGAGAGTGTATATATATACATATACAGGCTTTATATATCTGTCACCATTCTGTGGCTCACTGCATTAGGTGTCTCACCAGCTCCAGGCTTCATCAGTACACCCAATAACCTGCAGGGATGCTTTAAAGGACCCCTCACCGGGATAACTGGAGGTCACCCAGCTGCATGCAAAAGGTCCAGTCGCTCTTTCCCAGGTTGTGTTGCGTTGAATTCTAAGGTCTCGGATTGAGGAAGGAACTTACTGTAATCTCACTCCAGGAACCAACAGCCCCTCCGAGTCACTTCCTTGCCGTCCTCCAGAAAACTTTGTTCTGTTTCCTTTAATAATACCGGCCGGCAACCTCAGACTACCAATTTGAGTTCTGGAGTCTGCCATATGAGCCCCAGAGGCCAGACTGCCCATACCTGTCCCGCAATGGACCGTCTAAATGTGGCTCAGAGGCCTATCCGCTAGTACCAAGTATGAATCACTCCAGAATGTTGGAGAAGGATGATATGAAAAATGAACGAAAAATGCAAAGGCACCATTGTCTCCGAGTAATATTATTAATATGAAATTTGATGAACGAATACCGAGGAGCTGACCTCATTATTCGTCCAGGATCTGGGTACCAAACGATATAGTCTTTTATATATATATATATATAAAAGAACTTGCGCTACAATCCTCCTAGCCTTGGAGATCTCTCGGGTGTTTCGTCTCGCGCCAGTCAATCACCGTCTTGACAGCAATCGACTCGAGCGGAAACTCATTACTGTGACCCGACTCAGACCCCGACTTTCCCACAGTTACCCTGCTTTCAGTGCCATAACCACTGGAAACAAACCCGGCTTCGGGGTCCCCAAGGTTAAACCTCTGTTGCGACGAAACGCTTGACGGTATTATCTCTATGCTGGCCCCTCCTGTCTTCGCAGCCACTGAAGACCCACGACCAATTCTCATAGGAGTACCGCTGATTGTTGCATTCCCAGCAAATGGAGATAACCCATAAGTGTTGTCCCTTCTGGGAAACCAAGACCGAACAGGCGCCAGTACCTTTGAATTGAGGGCTGTAGTGAGTAGCGGCCGCAGAGTAGGCAGAGAGGCACAAATGACGGCCAGTTGCGGCTCCAGAACCGCCCAGAGCATGGGCTCACACATAACGACCGTCAGGTCTGCCGTGGGACCCTTCCTGGCTAGCACTATGGTTACGTGCAGACGATATGAGCTGCCGAAGATGACACCCGCACCAAGGAGAAAGACTGCGGCCAGGGCGACACGCTGGTGGCGAGGAATGTGCAGCTTCAACACCTCGTATGTGGGAAGAAAGAAGATCACGACATCCGTGAGGATGTTTGGAATGCTGTTGCCGAGGAAGGACTGGATGATGTCGATGCAGTGGCCTTGCACTCGTGCTGGATCGAAGACTTTCCGTACCGGCGTGCACTGGAAGATTGTACTGATACACACGGCGAGCCACCAGGCCACCGTGATGCCTCCGAGACCGAACCACCCAACCTTCATAATTTTTGTGGGGAAGCAACGCCTGTACATGGCCAAGACGCTGAGTTTTGTCAGGGCAAGAGCAGTTGCGTAGATGAGTTCGCCTGCGAAGAGAACCTTGTGGTAGACCATGATGCGGTTTGGGTCGATGGCCATGTTGACTGCAAGTGGTTTACCGAGCCCACCGAGTTTGACCAGTAGCACTGCGACGATATACATTCCCCATGTGGGCAGCTGTGAACAAGAAAGGGTCAGTTGTTGAGCTTCCCCTTTTCTCCCTCTCTCCAAAAAAGTAAACATTACTGCATACCAGAGCCGAAAGAATGAGCCAATCGTCCAATCCAAGGGGGACACGCCGTTTAATTCTCGTGACGACCCGAAGAAGCACAGTAATAGTGACTATGATTGTCATCGCCGTGAGGATGCGGATCAACTTGGGACCATGATCAAGTCGCAGGAGCTCTGGTGAGAGCTCGGGCGTTGGCGGTGATTGAACACCTTCTCCTGCCATTGCTAACAGTGATGATGAAGGATCATACCCTGAATATTCTTGGAGTGGATCGGGGAAACATTTCTTCATCAATTTATTCTCAAGAAAATCCCTGCTCTCGGGATTTTTCCAGCCCTCTTCTTGTCATACTACACTAAAGGACAATTATTGGGCTGTTGGCATGACGCACTTGCCATGTGCCGCAGCCAAAGCCCCTGCCTAACTCTACCGTTTATCACGAAACAAAAGGGCAAGCAGGATAGGGGCATAACTATCCGAATCCATCCGTGCGTCCCACCTAAACCAAGACTCTTGACGGGTGTATATCTCTCACGTGCTTGGTAGCGAGGACCACTTCCCATGTTTCTTGATACTTTTTTATATATAAAAAAAGCTAATAATTTAGATTACCGGCAGTTGATTGAATGGGGAGGTAAGCACTATCTGACAGCGAACAAACAGGACTAGTCCTGCAGGACCCGGGCTGGGGAGGTAGGAAGGGGCGTAGTCCAGTAAAACATGAGAAAAACCAATAAGAACTTGAATCATCCCTGACCGAAAGGTTACCGCCAACCCGGACTCACTAAGGTAGGTATGCGGCCCCGGCTACCAACATACCCTCCTGATCTGCATGTCTGCTTCAGATCTGCTACTACTGTATGTTTGTTATGCATACTTTTATAGCCCCCACCGGGAAGGATTATTATTCTTGACCAAACTCCGTTTCTGTGCACTCAATCAGGACAAGGTTGCTTTTCACGAATCCAAGTAGAAACTGTACATTTAATTTAAAATTGTTGCCCCAGTCCAAATCAAACATGATGCTTAAATCTACCAAATTTCTGTCTTGACCTTTCCATCCATTCACCTTTTGTCAGTGCGCCGGAGGAGGAGCTGGCGGATTTTGTTGGTTACTAGTCGTTTGTTGCGGAGCCGTCATTGGGAACAAAGTTCTTTGTTTGTTTGTGATTTCCAGAAATGTTGCGATTACGGAAATAGTATGAAGGGGCCGGGGCTTTGAGAATAAATGTCCACAGTCATGAGTCTACTGGTAAGTGAGTCTACAGGTAGTAAGTAAAGAACTTGGCCCATGTGGTAGTACCAAGTGCACTGAAGATATTCTTCATGCTTGCCGAAGTGATGATTGCAAAGGAGAAAGAAAAAACATTCGACGGTGAACTTACCCACCGACCGCGCCCCAAGGCGAATCTGACTTTGTCCTTCGAACCCACCCGGAGTAGTAAACCTTGGTTAAGCGAATAGGTATAAACAGACGGTCAGAGTCACCC